TGCCTTTTTGTGGCAAACACGGACCCCAAAGGGCGTCCTGAAAAATTATAGAACGGGTAAATTTTTGGATATGGTAAAACTATGGTTGTGTAAATTCTGTTTCATCCATCTTGTGGACAATTTCGGACTAAACTCCACCATAGCGAGCCCCGCCACAGCGACTAAGGGCCAAAGCACAAAAATGGGACTAGTCGGACTAGTTGATTGAATTTGTGCAGATTTCTTGTGCAAGGAATCACACAGACTTCATTTGTCTGAATGTTTAAAATTGCCCTTCATGTTCTCAGCTGTTTTGATTTGTCTTTACAAATTCATATGCACTGGCTGTGCTTGACCACGGTGCAGGAAACAAATTATTCAAGCAGCTGTCGCTTCTTTTCTGCAAGCGGCCACAAGGAATTTAGTTTAGTTTAGGTGCTATTGTTGAAGCACCGTGTGTACCGTCTGCATTCATCCTTAACTGGCTTCGACTGTGCTGGCTGCTGTGAAAAGTCTATACCAAATGCGGCAAGGTATTTTAAATTCAAGGTACCTTAGCGCTGTTGATAGCTAGAGAGGAAAACCGAATTAAAGTGCTGGATCTTCGTTCGAGTGCTTTCTGAGAGTTTCGGAGAGAGTGGTGGCAATGCGTGTCCGGACGCGGTTCAACGCTGATACGCTGATTCGCTGAGTAGCTGAAAAGGTTACTACCTTGCAAGGGTGGTACGCTGTTACGCTGTTGTTTTGCTGTTACCCTGATACGCTGATACGCTGGTACGCTGATATTCTGGTACGCTGGTACGCTGTTACGCTGATACGCTGTTACGCTGGTATGCTGATACGCTGTTACGCTGATACGCTTTTACGCTGATACGCTGATACGCTGATAGGCGGCTGATACGCTGTTACGCTGGTGCGCTGATACGCGGATACGCTGAAACGGTGTAACCGGTGTGACGGTGTAACCGGTGTAACTAGCGTAACGGTGTAACCAGTTTAACGGTGTAACCTGTGTAATGGTGTAACCTGTGTAACGGTGTAACCGCTGTATCCGGTGTAACCGGTGCAACCAGTGTAACGGTGTAACCGGTGTAACCAGTGTAGCGCAAAATGCTGGACACTACTTGCGTCGGCAATGGTTTTGGAAATGCTGTGGCAACTGCATTGTCATGACACGGTATGACATCCATCTGCCAATCCTCTGAACAAGCGTGGCATCGTCAGTCCTATTCAAAAGGTATGGAGCCCCTCCAGGTCTGAGACTTCCTAAGTCATAGGGTCTGATTCCATTGACAACTTTCGATTGAAGACCAAGAGCACAAAGAAGCTGGCCAAATCTACGACGCAACGTCGCCGCTGAATATGGCCACGGCTTTTGATCTGCTGAATAACCAGCAAACACAACAAAACGATGTCAATTGGGTCAATACGAGCTGACTGATGACGAGCTCCCGGCCCCTTGTCTTTGGCTCAGGAACCCAAAGCAAGATGTAGTCAATTCCGGGAGCTGAATCGCCCAGCTCACTTCTGCCGATAGCACGGAAAGGGTTACAGGGAGCCTGGCTGCGGAGCGTTTCCTGACCAAGAGCGCGGCTGGCTTCCATTTGGACATAGATAGCGAATGGGAACGGAAAAACTGCTTTCCAGCCGCAGCAGATCATGGCAGCCTTCATTCCACCCACGGGCACTAGAGTTATCCTAGAGGTGATTACCCCAAGCGATACTGGTCTGACTCCGGACAAATGGAAGCAGGACTACAGTTTGCTTCGAGGGTGGTACGGAAGGAAGAACCAGATCTTTTCGAACAGCCCCTAAGACCTCTCCAATCCTCAACGCGCCCGTCCACGTTAATGCAATGATGGCTGCCTCAACAGGCCAGCCCCACATGAGGGCAATTCCAACCAAAGACAACATGGTCCTAACCGGCAACGCCGGGTGGTGTTGATGAGGTTCATCAATCAGCCACGCAAAAGCCAGATCCCAAGCGCCTGTGGGCTGCCGCTTCAGAATTGGACGTAAAACAACAACCGCATTGATGGTCTCAGAATACCTCGTGTAAGATTTTCCAGAACCGTGAAGATCTCGGCAATAAGCCACCAGCCAAAAAGCTCAGGATCCCAAGGCTTCTTCCCAAAGAGGTCATTCCAGCTGATGCCGTGTTCAAAAAAGAGCCAAGTCTGGAACTGCTCAATCAGCTGCCCATGACTCTGCCTCGTTTGACTTCAGAGAACTCGGTCTGCAGCTAAATGAATACTAGTCGCGCGAGCGTCCTCAGCTGCAGATTCAGGGGCCAAAGGGGCCCCGGCCCCGACTCCAGAACACAGCAAAAGAAAAATGGCCATGGCAAACCAAACACGAAATCGAAAATGGCTGCACAGGACCTGCTGAAATGGGGGTTTATGTGGCTTATGCAATCGCTGAGGAAAAGAAAATCCAAAAGGAGGAAGCATTGGCACGTTTGAGGCGTAAATCCAAATCAAAGCCCCAAACCACACGACGGCAAAATGTCCAAATCCAACGGTCGAAAAGACGACCCCGAATCCAAATCCATAGGTCGAGACATCATCAGCTGGGTGGCATGAAGAAGCTAAGCTTTCATTGAAAGAGGTGGCAGAACCTTCTTGGAGGAAGGTGATCAGAAGGAACAACCTGATCCAGTTTGCAAGAGGGCGAGAGAGCCCGGAAGAGTGGAGCTTTCTGGGGACTTCGAGTGGCACTGAGTCCCAAAGGGAAAACTTGCAAGGCCTTCTAATCTCAACATCTCGAGTAGGGTCATCAGCAACATTCAACTTTGTAGGAGCGAATGACGGGGAAGGATAAGTATTGCCAACTATCTGAATAGCAGCAGCTCGTTGGAGAATGGGCTGAAGCCCCAAACTGCTGCCCCCCCCATTCGCAAACGCACCCTGACTGATGAATCGAGAAAAACTGAAAACATCTTTCCTGGCCGCTCCTCAATTGACTGCTTCAAAAGGGATGCATAGGCTGCGGACTCAAGGATGTTGATGTGGGACTTCTTCTTCTTCCAATGCCACTCTCTAACCAAACGCCAAGCGCCTGTCCGCAAAACATCATTTGAAAGCACCGACTCCAACCCGACTCCACCACAACGCACCTCAGCACTTTTGTCCGCAGCCCGCAAGGCCGAAGAATCCACATTTCACCGTCATGCCAACAGCGTCCAGCAAATAGACCAAAAGCCGAAACTCTTTTCTGTGCACTGAAACAAAAAGAAGCCGCTAGGTGTCTGGCAAAATCTGTTCGTGACGCAAGCACCCATCGCGGCAAACTCATGGCCCATTGTTGGAAAGTCATAGTTCCAGAAAGAAGGTCAACCGCTCTGCCACCAGAAAAATGATTCAAGCTTGATCCTCCTCCTCTGCAGCCTTCTGAAAATTCCCTTTTTCCTCGACCCTTTTTCTTTGGCGATCCTTTTGTCTTTAGCTTTTGAGCATCCCCTGGCCCTGAGCCAGCTGTAGAACCCAGGCCTTGACCTGACAAAAGCTCGCTGCGCTTTGTGGTGTTTGTGTCCAGCTCCTTCAGAAATGCAATCGAGGCCGTCACCCAACGCTGATCCGCTAAGGGTGCAAATGCTCTTGCACGGGAGCTCTGAGCCAGCTGACGGCTCGTGAAGACTGAAGCTGGAACATCTTCTTGCATCGTCAATATCTGAGCGCACTCGAATCGCCCACTGTCCATAACAAGCTTGTTCTAACATCACCGCAGTCAACGCTATGCTGTCCTTTGCAGCTCCAAGATTGTCGGCCATCAAAAAGTCTGTCGCCATCATGATCTGATATTGAATGATTCCCAGCTCCTTCTGATGGCACCAGCAAATCCAAATGACCTCGGTCCGCAGAGGACGTTGGAGACATTCTTCGAGACATCGACCTCACCACTGAGTCGAAGAAAACCCCCTTGTGAAGGGCCAGCTCCGACTGGAGCTTCGCTCTCCCTGCGGCCCTCCTCGAGCCAGAGGGGACGCTCAACTGTAGATCGCTCAAAGGATCCTGACTGGAACCTGTCAGTTGCGCCAGGTTTGTAAGGGCTGTAGACTGCGCTATCATCACTTGAGCGACATATGAGGGATTTGGCCGATCCCCTTCCAACTCCTGCAGATCCGAGGGCTGGGCATTCTGAGGAGCAGCCAATGTTGAGACCTTGGAGCCCACCTTTGGAGGTTGATGGGATAGCCTTTGCCGGAGCACCCAAACTTGGTGAAGGATTCGCCGGTGGGGCTAGCGGAAGAGCCAGTGACTTTGCAACTCCTCCTCTTTGTTGGATCTGACTGGAAAACGCTGGCAACGTCGGAAGAACCTGCTGCAGCGAAGCATGAAGAGTGGCCGTAGTTGGCTTCTTTGGCTTGGGCACTGGTCCATATCCACTCATCCATATCCTGAAGGAGAGTTCTGGTCCTTCTTGCACAGAGACTCCGGGTCCTCCTCTGCCGCGGTGACCTCTGGTGTGTACCAAGGGTTCTCCTAGCCTGCGGCGACATGCTGCTGTTGAATCCAGGAAAACGCCAAAGCAATCAGCGACTGAACTTCTGGCAAAGCAAAAGGATCGTCCTCTGAGAAACTGACAAGGGAATCTTCGTTCTCCCCCATCACTCTCAAATTCGCACTGGCGGAAGCATCCATGTCCACAAGCAAAACTGGAAGGTCTGCACCAATCGGGCTCTCCCGCCCGTCCTCTAATAAAACACCTGGAACTGAAAGAACTGTGGAAGGCCCTACTTGTCCCTGACTTGAACCATTGCAAGCAAAAATCCACCTGGCCTCATCATAACAACCAAAGCACATGCTTCGACGTGCGAATCCTCCTCTTCTGCAGATCTCCACTCGAAAACAAAATCTCTTCTCTCCTCATGTCAAAGGCACCAACTCCAGCATCTCTAGTTCTCCCATGTCCACACTCATGGCTGAATAGTCGGCAGCTCGAAACCCGCTGCCCCACACAGTAGATCTTGGCTTCCGTCTCGGAAAGGAACGAATGTGACACTGAAGATCCGTGGGAGCCACCCAAAGCGGACTAATAGGATCTGCTGCTTCGGAAGCAGCAAGCCTTCGGCCCGAAGCACCACGTAGATCCTGGGCTGCAAAGAAAGCTGTGGAGTTCGATTTGGAGAGCCTGCCCGGCCTCGCAACACCGCCCTAGCCCAATTGCCGGCTTTCCAAGCCCTCTCAACTCGCTGACGTCTGTCAACCAATCCTCTGCCCAGAGAAGATGAAGAGTCCAAAAAGCGCTGAGGACATGTCTCACCCACAGCGCCAAATCCAAAAGGAGCCACTGAAGGAGTTGGAGAGCCCCTCTCTGAAGGCAATCGACAAGATTCCAAAGTGGACCGAGCAGCTGTGATCTCAGACACCAATTGAATTGCCTGAGATGAGGGCCCTGAAACACTGATAGAAAGGCCACCAAGACGAAGAGTGATGTCAACCACGTCGTCGCTGGCAAAGCTGTCGCTCATGAAGATAACCAGCCAAACGTTGACTGGCTATCGACAAATCCAAGGACTGCTTGGTTGGAGGAGAAGACCAGGGCACGGTCTGAGAAATCCAAAGGCAAGTCAGCCAAGTATGAATGCCAATCAAATGATGATGCAGGGAAGCTGCCACAGTAATATGGGCACCCCAGACCCCAAAAGTTAGTTTTCAGGCCCTGAGCAGCGATGCCAGGACAACTTGGCCCATAGAGTCTCATGTGGAATTCTTACGGTAAGTGCTAAGGCTTCAGCATTTTCCCTGAAATTTTCCGCGCAAAATGGCTCTTGTGACATCGTCCATGCGCATTTCGACCCGGTCCTGGGGCGCGGCATTCTTCCTGTAAATGTCCGCATAAAATGGTTCTTGTGACATGTCCATGTGCATTTCGACTGCGCATGCTCGCTCAGCGTGCTCAAAACCAAGCCGGAAGCAGCGCAGGCAGCCCGCAAGCCGCTGTGGAAACGGACATGAACTAACACTCACCCTTGGGTCAGAAGAGGCCCGAGATTGATCACAGCTCTCTTTCAGACCGAATTCGAACAATGAATCTGAAGATCTGCATCACCAGGGAGTCAACTGCGTCAGTGTATTTGATTGGATTAGCCTTCGGAACTGGAGGAAAGCTGAGTCGGGAGTACTCTAGTTTCAGACAAACCCAAATGGTGCGAAAAAGCAAAACAAAAGTCAAATGATCTCAAGCATTTCGACGCTTTCGACGCTTGCAGCGAAGAATGATGTCATAGAATGTCTTTGTCAACTCGACTGCTGTTGAACTTGTTGGATGTGAGAAAAACATGAAAAAGAGCTCTTACTGCCTACTCTCGGCCAAACCTACTGTGGTCCCAATGATACACCCGTTGAGAGATGATTTGTACCACCCATGCTTGGTAAATTTGGTGGAATTTTAATGCGTCCACATGAATCTCAGCGGTTGCAGTGGTTGCCATTGCTTCCTCCATTGAGGACTCAACCATCGAGTTCCCGTAGTTCCTTTTGCGCACATGGTGAGCGAGAAGTCATGCCAGCCCAAGGGCCCGGAGGAAAACTTCAGCAGCTCATCACTTGTGGTGCGAGATATCTCCTGAGTCTCTTGATACTTGATATCTTTTTATATGATGGGATTCTGATGGAGTCGGTCCGCAATGGACAACACCTGACAAGGAGCTTAGGAGCAGGCATTTGGATGCTTCGGGCACGTCGGCTGTCGACCAAATAGGTAGATGTGCTTTTGACACTCTCGTGTCAGTGTCCAAGTGCATCTGACTTCGTCTCAGAAGAAAGACTGGGACTGCTGCTGCTCATAGTTTGCCTGCATCCTCGGCTAGTTAACTGCCTCTCCTCAACAAAACTTTTTAAATTTCAGCATTGGACTGACCTTGCGGGTCAAACATTGGGATTGCATCGCTTTATCGAACGAACGCATGCTGACTGAATCTCGTCAGTTGACAGCTGGCTTGCCCGAGTCTATGGGCATTGATCAGCTCTACCTTGCACCTTGTGGGCCACCCATTCGGATGGTCTGAAATGGCGTCCAAGACTCTGCCTATGTCTGGCTTCAAACAGTCTCCGGCAGCGACGAGGCTATCAGGCTATCGGTTGGGAATGACGACATGAGAAAATGATAGAAAATGATAGAAAATGACTGTACAAGACTGTGCCTATGTCTTAAGAAAGCAGCCTAACTTGGCTGACTCTCCTCAGCAAAACTTGTTCGTGCAAGTCAACTTACATACCAAAGCCAGGGGTCGTTTGCGCCGGCATTTGGGCTTCAGCCCACATCCACGGCATCTCTCACGGTCTCTTCAACCCTCTCCTTCCCAAGTTCTCACTAGTAGGTGTCCACCAAACCATTTGGCCTCCACACCTACCAGAACTTGACTTTGGAATGCACCTTGTCTTGCATTCACCATGATTTGCCGGTACACTTGGTTACTTAGTCACCTTACAAACCAATGCCTTGCCGGGGTCGTTTACGCCAGCGGGGTTCCGATTTGCACATCCACAGACATCTAAAAACCAAATTGAGATGAGCTCTTCCAATTTTACTTTCTGGGAGCTTATCGAATCCGCATTTATCTTTGCAGCACTTTTGCGTCAGGCCTCTTTTGGCTTTCTCCCGGCCTTCCTGACTCGAGCTTTTGCTTTCGCGAGAAATATCCACATGAACTGTATCTACCTTCCTTTCATGAGAATTTGTTTATGTGGCTCAGATGGATTCTTTCACGATGTACCTCTCAGGGTCTCTTCAACCCTACCTTCGCAGGTTCTCCATGTCTTTGCCCTTGTCAAATCCCTCTGACACTTGTAGGTGTCCACCAAACCATTTGGCCTCCACACCTACCAGAACTTGACTTTGGAATGCACCTTGTCTTGCATTCAGCATGATTTGCCGGTACACTTGGTTACTTGGCTGCCTCCGCAACAAAACGTGTTCAAGCCAGTCACCTTACAAACCAATGCCGCGGGCATTTGTGTCAGCCGGGTTTAAAGTCACTTGGTTTGACTTTGCAAAAAGAATCAGAGCTCCTTTCGGGGCCCAAGGCTAGATCGATAGACTTGCGTGAGTCCATTTGATGGGTGCACTTGAAGCGAAGTTGGCCAAGTCCCGATGTAAGCAAATTTGTCAGCTGACCTCCGAACCACCTGTCGCGCTTTGAAGGGCTGGTTTTGATGAAGCAATTCTGTTGAAGAATATCTGTGAGGCTCTGCATACTTCAACTTCCATGAGCGTCTCGTGTTGCAAGGACAGAAATACCTGTCGAAGACGCGCGACAAGACTTTGCCTGGTTTCGAGCAGAAAAAAGTTTGGAATTTGAGCACACCTGATTCCGATGTACAAATCGGAGTCTTCGGTTTCAACTCTGCATGGCAGCTCAGACTCAAGTGTCATGAGAGTGTCAACGTGCCAAAATGTTCTGTTCCCTCGGGAACTTTTGCTTCAGGCAGTGAAGATACTGCGTGGTTGACCGGTGCTTTTTCAAGATATGGCTCCAACCTGATGCGTTCCTATGCTCAGCGTGCTCAAAACCAAGCCGGAAGCAGTGCAGGCAGCCCGCAAGCCGCTGTGGAAACGGACATGAACTAACACTCACCCTTGGGTCAGAAGAGGCCCGAGATTGATCACAGCTCTCTTTCAGACCGAATTCGAACAATGAATCTGAAGATCTGCATCACCAGGGAGTCAACTGCGTCAGTGTATTTGATTGGATTAGCCTTCGGAACTGGAGGAAAGCTGAGTCGGGAGTACTCTAGTTTCAGACAAACCCAAATGGTGCGAAAAAGCAAAACAAAAGTCAAATGATCTCAAGCATTTCGACGCTTTCGACGCTTGCAGCGAAGAATGATGTCATAGAATGTCTTTGTCAACTCGACTGCTGTTGAACTTGTTGGATGTGAGAAAAACATGAAAAAGAGCTCTTACTGCCTACTCTCGGCCAAACCTACTGTGGTCCCAATGATACACCCGTTGAGAGATGATTTGTACCACCCATGCTTGGTAAATTTGGTGGAATTTTAATGCGTCCACATGAATCTCAGCGGTTGCAGTGGTTGCCATTGCTTCCTCCATTGAGGACTCAACCATCGAGTTCCCGTAGTTCCTTTTTGTGCACATGGTGAGCGAGAAGTCATCCCAGCCCAAGGGCCCGGAGGAAAACTTCAGCAGCTCATCACTTGTGGTGCGAGATATCTCTTGAGTCTCTTGATACTTGATATCTTTTTATATGATGGGATTCTGATGGAGTCGATCCGCAATGGACAGCACCTGACAAGGAGCTTAGGAGCAGGCATTTGGATGCTTCGGGCACGTCGGCTGTCGACCAAATAGGTAGACGTGCTTTTGACACTCTCGTGCCAGTGTCCAAGTGCATCTGACTTCGTCTCAGAAGAAAGACTCGGACTGCTGCTGCTCATAGTTTGCCTGCATCCTCGGCTAGTTAACTGCCTCTCCTCAACAAAACTTTTTAAATTTCAGCATTGGACTGACCTTGCGGGTCAAACATTGGGATTGCATCGCTTTATCGAACGAACGCATGCTGACTGAATCTCGTCAGTTGACAGCTGGCTTGCCCGAGTCTATGGGCATTGATCAGCTCTACCTTGCACCTTGTGGGCCACCCATTCGGATGGTCTGAAATGGCGTCCAAGACTCTGCCTATGTCTGGCTTCAAACAGTCTCCGGCAGCGACGAGGCTATCAGGCTATCGGTTGGGAATGACGACATGAGAAAATGATAGAAAATGATAGAAAATGACTGTGCAAGACTGTGCCTATGTCTTAAGAAAGCAGCCTACTTCGCCACCGACACGCGGTTCCCAGAAACTCCAAGACCTGACTTCCTTAGATGCTCGTGGCGAAGCTGTCGACTGAGTCTGGAAAAGAGACCTGTCTTCCTGTTCAGCTTACACCATCTTCAGCGGCCTATTCCGGCCTTGAATTCAGAGCGTTCCGATCCGGGCCTCGGGACGGAGATAGAAACCAGTCCTGCTGACTGACCGGGGCAGGATTGGCGAAGAGCAAGTGCCAATAAGTGCCATCCAATGCCTGATGCAATCTGCACTCGACTCACTCAACCGGGGCGGACTTCACCTACTCAGATGAGGGCTACAGCTACAGCAGAAGGGCTGCTACACTGTGGCTTCTGATTGAAGTCATGGACTTCATCTTACTTCCATTCAACTGGGTCGCAAGATACTTGCTAGCCTCACGGAAATGCTTTGAAGCAGGTCATTTTCCAAGAGCGCTTCAGCTTGATTTGGCTATGCAAGAGGTTACAGTTTGAGACGAAAATAGACTTTGGTAGGCCTGTATAAATTGAACTTCTTGTCAACCTCATCTGCAATGGTATTGTTTCGCATACCACAGGCTACCTGAATCTTGCTAGTTGACAGCCGACCCCAACGAATCTCTGGACTCAAGGATCAGCTCTCAAACGTGACCTTACGCTCCAAAGGCAGGGCTTAGGCTGAGGTAGCATTCATTGGGC